TTCTGAAGAAGGGTCTAGGCCCAAAACGTCAGCCTTCCTGCTCCTCCGATACTGCTTGGCCTGCTGTGTTCATCCAGCTCTACACCTTGTTATCTTATGATAGATTGAGTTATATTGTTTTGATGGTAATGGATGAATAGTAGCCAATGAGTGAATAGCTGAGAAACTCAGATATGTTCTGTATGTGCATTCCATTCCCACCCAAATATTGAAATGACAAATTTGTTACCACTGCTAATAAAGAGGCAGATCTTAAATTGTTCTTTCCTGTTTTAGGTGGCTCCACAGATTAAAACTAGAATGATGTCATTTGGAACCACAATGGTAAGTTATCAGCCACAAGGTGACAAAGTTAATTTCTTCCGCATGGTCATCTCAAACCCAGCAGCTACACAAGAAGACATTGATTTTCTCATTGAGGAAATAGAGCGACTTGGACAGGACCTGTGACTACAAGGTTCAAGACATCTGCCCTGAAACAATGGAGATGTTGCTATTGTGTGAATGTATTTCATTGTTTATCTCCCCCAAACTAGTCTGGTGTGACATTCACCCTGTCTACAGGCACTGGAGCTGAAGACTCCCTGTGTGAAATTACGGAGATTAGGTGTTATTTAATGCAATTAAACATTTTCTGAAGTTTTAAAAGGTATGAGTCATTTACAGCCTGTCACATTTGAGACAAATTATCCTGAAGCATTAAGTGCTGAAATGATGTATTAACAGTAAATAGAACACTTTAGATATTTAGTTATGGTTCTATGGCAGCCCCACTCCAAGCAGATGTTACACACCAAAAATTCACAGCATTTCTGTCATTGCTTATGAAGGCCTTTATCAGCAAAGCTTTTTTTGGCTCCAAAAACTGCAGATTTTTGCAATTTTCTGCAGCCTAGAAAATAGTCAATAATGGAAATTTAATTCATTAATTTAGCCTCTTCAACTAGATGTGAGAAAAATTGTTTAAAAGATCTGTGCTTCAGATTTGTGAAATCATTATTATTTTGGCTCTGCATTAAAGTGTCAAATTCAGATATTCTATATTTATTTTGATAGAGGGAAAAAATGTTTTCATAATTTTAGTTGCCATACTTGAAATTGAAAGTTAGTGTTTGAAATCTTCAGACCAGGAGTTTACACATGCAATGTATACCAGTGATGTTGCTCTTCATGTTATAAAGAAATGACAATTGACAACTCTGTCGACAACTGGATGGTGTTCAGTGTCTGTGAAAGTGTTTCCTTTGTAGAAGTTTGAGTAATGTCTAGTTCACCTCAGATTGAGGCTGTGCACTTTAGAATCAAACTGTACTGTGTTGAATGATAGTGTTTTAATGTACTGTAGTATATTGTTACCACACATGGTATATTTAGATTTGGTAACAGGAAGTTTGAATTAAAACTCTGACATGGTTCTTCACGCCCAACATGCTCAAATTTGCATTAAATCTTATAAGCCAGAATATCTTTAAGTATTGTCAATGAGGAGGCCTTGCCTCTAGCGCTAACATAAAATGTGCTATGTAACTAATCAGTCAAAGCTTACTGATGTAGCAGATGTGTGAATACTGAAAGGATATTCTCACGTGAGTTGGATATCACTCATGCAGTCAATGTGAAGGCATATTTTTTTTAAAAAGATACTGATAGATCTATCAGACTCCAGTCAGGTCTCTCCTGATAATATAATCAAACTGTCCTTGAGTTTGATAGGTGGAGCCTTTTACAGTACTATGTTAAACATGACAGAAGGAAAGCTTAACATTAATGTCAAATAATTCATTTTTTATACAAAGAGTGACAGGCACTTGGAATAGTCTCTCTCATGGAAGCAAGGACTGTGAAGTTATTTAAGAACTACGTGGATATTTCAGTGGCAGGAATTTATATTAATCTATGTAGATTCTGGTGAAGTATATCTGATTGTAATTAAAATTAAAATATTTAGCAATATTAGTTTTTAAAAGCTTAGCTTTGCCCATCCTGCTAAAGTAGATTTTTGCTCAGACATGTGAAACAAGTCCATGTCACAAATGGATAACATTAGTCTTGTGATGTCTGCTACTACATTGAGTGTATACAATACTTACTGTGTTAAATTTTAAAATGATAGACCAATTTTAAGGGAATCAAGGGGCATGGGGAGGAAGTGGCCACATGGCATTGAAATAGAGGACCAGCCATGAATGGCAGAACAGGTTCAAGGGCAACTGGCCAACTCCTGCTCCTTGTGTCTACATCTCTATGTCATTTCTGTGTCATTTTTATGGGCATATTGATCATTTGTGTGATATTTTATTTATGTGATACTTTTCTGATGCATCAGTTAAATAAATACTTATTCCTCCATTATTGGCAAATAACACTTAATTAATTTACAGTATGCATGCTAAATGATTGGCAGTAAGACATCCCTTTATAGTGAAAAACATGTAGCTCATCCTGTGTAAACTATATATTAAGCCACTTAGATTATCAGAAACTAGTTACACAAATCTCTTCAGTGAATACGTCTTTTAAAGAAAAAATGTGCCCAATGATCCTCTACATAAAGAGCATAAGAGCATGTACAACTGTACAAAATATGAGCAGGAGTAGCCCCTAGGGCTTGCTCTGTCATTCAATAAGGTCATGATTGGTGTTATGCCTCACCTCCACTTTCCTGCTTGCTCCCCATATCACTTGACTCACTGTGATATCAAAATCTATCCATCATAGCCTTCTATATATTCAATGATGACATGTACATAACATTCTGGAATAGAGAATTCCAAAATTTCACAGCCCTCAGAGTATAAATGATTCTTCTTATCACAGTCCCAAACCATTGAACTCTTTTCCAAAGACTGTGTCCCAGGTTCTGGATTTCCCAAGCAGGGGAAACAAACTCTCAGCATCTCCCTGTCAAGCCCCTTCTGAATCTTGTCTGTATCAATGATATCACCTGTCTTTCTAGGACAACCATCTCAGTCTAGGTCCCAGTCTAGTGAATCTTTCTTGTAAGATCTCCAAGGTAAATATATCCTTCCCTCAATATGGCGACTAAAACTGTACACGGTATTATAGCCCTATATAATTGCAACAACACTTCATTGTTCTTTTACTTCAGTGCCCTTGCAATAAAAGTCAATATGCTATTTGCCTTCCAAAATATCTGTTATAACATGTTAACTTTCTGAATTCTTGTACAAGTAAACCCAAATGTCTCTAAACATCAATGATACCCATTTACATTACAGCATTGGCTTCTGAAGACAGTGAAAAGCACTATCATGATAAAATTGATGTTCATAAATGATATGGACATGCAAGCTCAAAGGAACTGGTCAAATTTGCACATGGCATCAAATTAAATCGGTTAGTCTAAGTGGAAGAGGTATTGAGGTTGGTTGGCTCATCGAGCTGGTTTGTTGTTTCACAGACGTTTCGTTACCATGCTTGGTAACGAAACGTCTGCAAAACAACAAACCAGCTCAGCAAGCCAACCAACCTCAACACTCACAACCCGAGCTACAGATCCACTCCAAAACCTTAGGGAAGAGGTATTTCAGAAATTACAAAATAACTTGGCAAGGTATGTAATTGGACAGAACAATGGTAGATGAGATTAATGCAGAAACATGTTCTATGCTGCTTATAATGGAATATAATTAAATTCCGCAAGCTGTACAAAAAGGAGCAGAGCATTAAGCTGAACAAGACCCAGGAATCTGAATAAATCTGATAAGCATGTCTATCCGGTGCAGAGCAGCAATCACATTTCCAATCAGAGACTGAACTCCATAGTCAAAACATAGACTATCAATCAGAGGAGGTGGTGATGAAACTGCATCATTCTCTGGCCAGGTTATAGTTTGGGTACTGTATTCTGTTCTAGTGACTGCGAAATTAAAGTAATGTTTCAGCAGGCTCTGTACAGGCTCTGTTTCAGAGGCTGTACAGAGAAGAGTAGCAAGACTGATGTAACAGCTTCTAAATTATTGGGAAAGACTGTAGGTACTCAGCAAAAATTGGAGCTATCAGAGTGGTAACCTTGTGAAGATAAGTAAAATATTTCAGGGTATGAGCATTTAATACAAAATATTGTTTTATGTTGGGGTAATAAAAGAAAGAGACATAAGCTCAAATGATATTAGCTAATTTTAGTCCTGATGTAAAGAGATAGTTGTTCAAAAAAGTGTGATCAATGGGTGCAATACATTTCCACATAGGCCTGATTGAGACAAAATCCATGAAAATATTGAAGAAAAAGTTTGATATACAATGTTGGACAGTTAGGATGTCTAGGTGGATGAATCAAGATAGGTCAACTGGCCTTCCTTACCTGTAATTATCTTGTGATCTTACACACATGTAGTGATTCTAACATTGCCAGTAATGACCAAATCACTGCTCTAAATAAGATGAATTCAGAAAGATAACTAAAACTCCACAGTGGTCACAGTTGGACTTAATGATGCCTAACTCAGATAAAAGGTGACTCATTTGTACACCAGCTAATACATGAAGAGTTTTGCTAAAATGATTTTCCCATTGTTGCACGAACAATCTGTGAAATTTTACTTTGGTCATTCTGACCTCAGGCATTGCATTTTGCTGAAACATTACCTAATTGATGATTCTATTTAAAGTTAAAATTTTAGCTTATCAAGATCTAATGTGAATTAGTATTTGTTCGGTTGGGGAAGACCACTGACTGGACAAACTGTGTAATTGTCTTAGTCATGTCCATTTAACAGGCTAGGATATGCATTCCATTTATTTAGCAGGATCGACGGAGTCAAATATGTGAAGTCAAAAAAAATTATTGTGAAGTGATTTTCTTGCATCTAATGTATATTTTGCAGCATTCTTTCCAATATGGAACTGTGTTTTGGAATCTGAATAGTAAACACTGTCCTGTGTCTTTCCTGTTAAGATGCTTGTTGTATATCCAGCCAGCTACAGGTAGTTTGACCTGTAATAAAGAACTTTAATGTTTATTACCTTGTCTGCTTTTTATTTTTTCAGAAAATGGAATTGATCATGCTAAGGTTGATAAATGGAAAAAAATTGCATGTTACAGCAGATTTATTTCACAGACCTGGAAAGCCGAAAAATGAAGAATGTGTAATACCAAACGTTGGAAATTTTGGAGATAGTAGGAACTGCACATGCTGGAGAATCCGAGACAACAAGGTGCAGAGCTGGATGAACACAGCAGGCCAAGCAGCATCATAGGAGCAGAAAGGCTGACGTTTCGGGCCTAGACCCTTCATCAGAAATGGGGGAGGGGAAGGGGGTTCTGAAATAAATAGGGAGAGAGAGGGAGGCGGATAGAAGATGGATAGAGGAGAAGATAGGTGGAGAGGAAACAGACAGGTCAAAGGGGCAGGGATGGAGCCAGTAAAGGTGAGCGTAGGTGGGGAGTTAGGGAGGGGATAGGTCAGTCCAGGGAGGACGGACAGGTC